AAGGAGAAAGAAAAGTAACCCACACTAAACTAAAAACCCAAGAGTAGGAGATCATTACCCTGTTAAACTGCAGTTAGTAATGAAAAAAAACCCTGTTAACAAACAATATACTTTGTGAGATCCTGTCTTTCTAAGCTTATGTGTTCGTTTATTACTTATTATGAGAAGGTTTTCAGAGCATCTCCTCCAGCTCTCTTCGTAAGAGCAATTTTCAGAGTCCTTCCGCCTTTACATCTATGCTAATTCTCTCTAAAGTCTTGATGGCTTCTTAGACGTTCACTCAAAATTCTGCAACCCTCCTCCATCTCCAAAGGGATAGCACTGCCAATCTTAAGCCTCTTCCTTCTTGGTCTCATCCTCGGGGCCCAGTGGCATCTCACAGGCTTCTTGATCTTGAGGTCAGGTTCAAGCTTTTTTCTATCAGCCGAATTTAGGACGACACTTTCTAAAAACATCTGCAGGGAAGGAGTCAAGCCCAGAATGTTCTGATCCCTTTCACATTTGACACCTGGAACCAGCAGCAAGTTTTGACACGCACAACTTTATTTTTGGAGGCGTTACGCTTGTCACAGATGGATGGACAGCTCTCTTGATCATTATAGATAGGTCTTTCCATGCCTGTTGGATCCCTTGGATTCGTCTTCAATTTACTCATAACCCTTAACTTGCTAGTCCTCTCCATGATGCCGAGCAACTCACTTTGATTGGCCATTGTGTGGTGACTGACAACCGCTCTCCGTCCTCAAAATTCAAAGTGTGTTCAGAGGCGCAGGAAGGCCAAAGGCCTTCACAACGGAGAATAAAAATGAGATAGACGCAGCCCCGGCCTGGATAGCACAGGAAAGCCTGATCTCATCAGATCTCGGAAGCCAAGCGGGGTACTTGGATGGGAGACCTCCAAGGAATACCAGGGCCAGAATGCGGAGGCAGACAATAGCAAGCTACTTCTCTAACATCTAAGCGCCACTAGGGGTCACCAGAACCATGACTTTTAGGCACACGTGCGCGCGCACACACATGCACACAAATACCCCCCCCCAAAAAAAAGAGAGGGCAAAGAGAGATAGAGAGAGAAGAAGAGATTGGATTTATACTCAGCCCTTCAATGCTCGAAGAACTCTCAGAGCAGTTTACAATCTTCTTTCCCTTCCCCTTCCCACAACAGACACTTTCACATTATCTACTACCTGTTGGGTATTACAAGTTGAAAACACTCAGTATATCTAGGGTTAAATGTTTGTTTATGTTATTCACAGGAAGTCCCATGTTTCTCATGTAACCAATGTTCTTTAGATGTAGAATACCCGGGAATTTTCTCCCTGATCTAGGGATTTGATTGGGACTAAAGTGTCAAGGTGTATTACCATTTTATGGCTTCTCTTCCCGTCTTTGGTGTTCTGAAGAATAAGAAGAGTAGTCATACTCACTCTCTTCTAGTTTTGTCTTTGTAGAGTAAGGATGTAGTAGATTTTGCTCTGTTGTTATTTTCATCCCAGTTACCCTTCCCATGCTAAAATTTAGTAAAAACATTATATTTTAATCACACATGGACTCTGAGGCTGAATTACTTTACTCTGGCTCTGCTGGACTATCTTATCTCTGCTAAATACCATTTTTTCAATATCTCACTATCACCCAACACTACCTGATCCTTAACTGGAGATTCCAGGGATTGAACCTGGGACCTTCTGCATGGGAATTTTTTTTTTTAATTAGATTTATACCCTGCCCCACCTTCAACTACTCTATCTCAGGGGGTTTGTTATGAGACTAAAAGACCATTCATGGCTTCTTAGAGCTATGACGAGATAACAAACAAACTAAATTAATGGCACATTCCTCTTTGCCTTTTATTCCTTTGTACAGGCCTTGACGAGGACTTGCAAGCTTGCATCATAAAAACAGTGGGAAAGATGCAAACTTATGAAATATTTCCATCCGTCTACGTGACGCCCTTGGTGCCTTTGTTAATGACCCAGAGGGAATGGAGCTACCCTAGTGGACCACGTGCACAGTCCGTAATTGTACTGAATCCTCAAGTGTTTGACAATCAGAGAAACAAAGGGATTGTATATAGTTACTTCAGTACCAATCAGAATACTTCAGGATTCGAACAAAGCAGATTACGTTGACCATCACCTTAGAAGGGTTTAAACACTGCTTGGAGGCAGCATATTAAAGCTGGTGAGAAACTAAGGCTTAAAAGTAGAGTGCAGGTGCCTAAGGTCTCTGCCATCTCGTCAGAAGAAGAAAGGTAAGATAATGAAACTCTTGTGCTAACCGGGATGGAGAGGGATTTGAACAAACCGGGTTCCATTGACTGCCACCTAAGAGGAACTGACGGGTTGCTTGGAGGAGTATGTTAAATCTGGTTAGGAACCAAGCTACTGTCAAGAGTAGGTGCTTTGCATGGAGAAGCTCCCTGCCATCTCGAGTCGGAAGAATTAAAGGCATCTTTTTGAGACCGTGGTGAACTGAGTCAAATTGTGGTGCCAAGATGAAGTTCTAGGACCATTGGACTAATTTAAAAAACCAGTAAGTTTCGAGGTCCTAGTGGCATCCAAGGATTCTTAGAAAACTCAAATGAGAAATTATTGACCTAGTTACCAGTATCGGTACTTGTTACTACAAACAGGCACTGTACCAGAGGACCGGACAGTAGCAAATATTGCACTGATTTTTAGAAAGGTCCCGAGGGGAACCAGGAAATTACAGGTTCTTTAGCCTCTCTCACAAGTCATATTAGTAGAAACTGTACTCAGAGAGAGAATCATTAGGCACACAGAGGACCAATGTATGCTGAGGGGAAATCAGCATGGCTTCTGCAAAGGGAAGTCCTGCGTCACTAACTATTTGGAGTTCTTTGAAAAAGTGAACAAGCATGTAGGTAACGGTGGCCTGAAAGACTTGCACTTTCAAAAGGTTTTCAACAAAGTACCATACTAAAGACTCCGGATTGGGTTTAGCAGTTATGGGTTAAGAGAACAGGTCCTTTTATGGATTAAAACCGGTGAAACAAAAGGAAGCCGAGAGTAGGAATAAGTTGGCAGTTCTGTCAATGGCTGGTAGTAACAGGATCTGTATTGGGTCCAGTGCTATTTAATTTGTTCATAGATTATCTGGAACTGGTGGTGGACAGTGTAGTGGCTAAGTTTGCAGATGACACCAAATGATTCAGGACTGTGAAAAGCAAGGATGACTGCGAAGGGCCCCAGGAGGATCTCTACAAATTAGGGCAGTGGGCAAGGAAGTGGCAAATTAAGTTCAATGTACATAAGAGGAAGGCGATGCACAAACAAATCCCAACTTCATGGACATGCTACTCGGTCTGGATGTGCTGAGACCGAGGGGGGAAAGGGTCATGGCAGGTCATGGTGAATAGCTCAATGAACATGTCAACCCAGTGTGCTACAGCAGAGAAAAAAAGGCAAACTCTGTACTGTGGATTATTACAAAAGGGATTGAAAATAAAACAGTCAATATTACAATGCCCCTGTATAGATCTATGGTGCTGCCTCATTTGGAATACTATGCACAGTTCTGGCCACTGCGTCTCAAAAAAGAGGGTCCTTACGTCAATATTACTTGCAACAGCCAGGTTAACAATAGCCGCCGCTTGGAAATCTCCCACCCCACCAACGCTTACGGTATGGCATGACAAGCTCTGGGAACAGTTTGTCATGGCCAAAATAGCAGATTTAAACCAAAGGTCTCTGCCATCAAATATCACACCACACACGAAGTTCTCAAGGCTATGGGCACCAGTTATAAAATATATGACAGAGCATGAAATACTTCCCTCAAATCCCAGTTATCACAGGTGGTTGTTCCTGTAAAATGCCACAAACCCCAATCCTCAAATTAGCATATCAGAAACGTTCGGTCTCTATCACACTAAACCTCAACATGGCGCACTAAGACTATTATTGCTTTAAATGCTGTATGAATTGGAATTTGGGTGACATTGGTGGTTTAAGTTGCAATGTGAACCTTAAAGGAGTTATGGGATGGTTGTGAATGGTTGTGTGAGTGTATATGAATATGGTTGTAGATCACCAAATGATTGCATCTTAATTTCGCTGTACTATGTACAATGACAATAAAGATGATGATGATGATGATGATGATGACGACGACGACGACGATGACGACGACGACGATGTCCACATAGAGTTAACATAGCAAGAATAGTTAATAGCCGGGACTGTCATGTTATATTTATCAATTGTACTCTTCCAATGTTTCCAATTATTTTCTTGCTGTAAT